GATGGAAACTCACAGTTATTTAAATGGTAGTACTGCACGTGGAACCTTTTCCGGTACTGCTCTAACGGTACTTGTAAATATACATTCTGCTGATCTCCTGAAGACAGCTATCTTAGCCGCGTTTGGAGCCCTGGTTAGTTTTTGTGTAACGGTGCTACTCAAATGGCTGTGGGGGAAGATTAGGGGGAGGTTATAAGTTATAGGTAAGTTGTAACATAAACGTTAAGGTCTGTATAAAAGTCGTTCTGAAAAGGGCGGCTTTTTTTATTATTAGCTGTTTCCATTGTGAAAGCAGCATGTAAAATCTTAAATTTTGAACTACTAAATAGCCATTCCGAAGACTAACGCGTTTTTAATCCGGAAGTCTGACTATCAATTAATAGAGACTACTTGTTTCCAGTGTCACAAAATGAATGGTGGCACAATCTTTTCTTAACTCATAACATGAGTAAAGATAATTTTCAGGATCATTTGGCGAATGAGCGCACTTTTCTTGCGTGGGTTAGGACTAGCGTAGCTGTTATGGCTTTTGGGTTTGTAGTTGTGAGGTTCTCTTTGTTTTTAACCCAGTTATCTGTGATGCTCAATCAGAGTAAACTTGATGATCATAGAGAATATTCTGCCATTGCTGGCAATGTGCTCGTGATTGCGGGCATGTTGACTACGTTGCTTGGCTATGTTCGTTATCGTAAAGCTGAAAAACAATTAGAGACAGGTGCTTTTAAGAATTCGGCAGTTATGGTAACCTTACTCACTTGTCTTATCCTGGTGCTGAGTGTTTGTTTAATTGTATTTCTACTTTTGAAAATTTAGTATTCGTCAGAAGCTGAATCACCTAAATTCCTGGATACGAACGCGATCGCTTCTTCTACTTTATTTTCAAATGAAGTGCCCCACTATAACCACTGCTGGCCCTGGCTTGATTTAAAGAAAAAATGAATTAGGATGTGAACTTATTTTATTTAAAGGGAACTTCTTTACCAATCTGTACTTCTATTGACAAATCATACAAGCAGGACGTCTACCCTTACTTCTTTTTGCAAAGGCATAGCAGCAGTTTAACATCTGTCACCTAGTAGACAATTATGCTAAAGTTTTATCATTAGCTGCCATTGGCAGTATGATATTAAATTGAGTACCTACTCCTTTTTCAGACTCAACGGATATAAGACCATGGTGATTTTCAACAATCTTTTTACAAAGAGCCAAGCCTATCCCGCTACCTTTGTAATTCTGTTCAGAACTTTCGAGGCGGTAGAAGAAACTAAAAATTTTGGTTGCATACTTTTGTTCAAACCCTATCCCATTATCTTTAACAGATATAAGTGCGTAAGGCTTTTCAAATTCCAGCGATTCGTTCTTTTCGATTTCCTGCAGAGTTAGTTCTCTGGAAGTAATACTTATGGAAGGCTGCGACTCGTTAAATTTTAAAGCATTGCTGATGAGATTAAAAAATAACTGGCTTAGCTGGTGAGATACACCATAAATTGCTGGAAGTGCTGCCACCGTTATG